TCAGTATGTGAAAGTCACAATAATTTGTAAATACCTAGCATATATACAATAAAGACATGCCATGCTGACTTGACTGCGGGTTAAAAAAAAAAAATAAAAAAAAATAAAATTATGGTATAATAGAATAAATATATTAATATATTTTGTTTTTGTTTTTTTTTTTTAAATGTCAACTCAGCATGTTTATTAGCATTAATATAGACAAATTCAAAGAATTACATTGAAAGTATTATAACTATTATAATAGCTATATAAATATCCTAAAACCAAACAGTTTACCGGATTGCTTTTTGCTACTCCACCAATGAGGGGAGAACTAGTCTAAGGCTACCTTTTGGCTAATGCAAGAAATATAAAATAAAAGAAAAAATAGCAGGTACTGTTATGTAAGGACCAAAGTTTCTTCTACTACAGATTATTTACTGAGATTAATGCCAAGGAATATTTAACACCTACAAATTATCTACTGTAGTACTGTGTCTTTACATCTTTGAAAGGAAGGGGGAAGTGTTCTTCTTCCGGCTGGGGAGGGGTATGGTTTCAGATACCAGCTTTATTGATATTATCTTATCTGATACTCTGCCTAGGGGGTTACTCATCCAAGAATCAGGTGGGACCTACACTAGGAGGGACCTTAAAACTATGGTGGGTTAATGACCTTATCCTAAAGATAATATCAGCTTCAAGCATATACTGCTTATTTAAGAAGGTGTAACTTTTCCAAAGTCAGGCTAAGTCATTAGGGGGTCTTCTAATCTGGTAGTTATTTCTAACTAGTACTTTTATCAAGAGTAAGATTGGTGGGTACTACTAGTAACCTAAAAAAGATCATGTTGGAGGGGGAGTCGTGTTAAGAGTTTTGATATAAGTCATCAGCTTATTATCCTTCTTTTTGTGGAACCTGTTGTGTTTCTTGGTCCTGTTTGTTTCATCTTTAGGACAGTTCTGTATCCAGGACATCATGCTTTCTTGGGCCTTGTATTGTTTCTTCAGCATTGCATCAGGTTGAATTTATCTTGTTGTGAGCATATTAGGTTACTTCTATCGATGCATAAGTCCTTTTGTCTATGGGTTTGTCCTTTCTCTCTCTTTCTCTTCTTCCATACTGTAGAAAATAACTGTATCCTGTATCCATCCGCATGGCTACAACTTACTTATGATGGACCCCAGGTTCTTATGGGGCTAAAAAAATGCATTCAGACACGTGAGGTGATCAATAAGAGTTTATTTATCAATCTTTGTCAACATGTTTTGTGTCGACCAATCAAAATAGATGGAATTTGTGCTACCCAAAATTCAGGGTCAAGCTGGGGTAGGCAAAATTCCCCAAAAAGCCATGAAGTAGGAGCTCTGAGAGGCCTTAAGACCATGTCAAAAGGAAAAATAAGTTCTTGACTGGGACAGAACCTCTATCGTAACTTGTCTTGTTCCTCCATTTCAGAAGAGTGGTGACAGATACTACACTGGTTGTCCTTCTTCCTTTAGGAACTTTCTTGTTATTGGTAGTAAAGGTATGAGTTGAACTTTGTAGGTCATAAGAGTTCAATTTGTCTAAAGATAATTATAAACAAGAAGGAAAGAATATAGGTGACTTCTGAAGATTTTCTTCATGTTGGATTAAGGAGAGTGGTAAGACTTTATTAGCAAGAAGTATTACAAACTTCTTGTGAACATCTTTTTTGTATGTGGTCAAGGGATCAGCAAAAAGAGTCTGACCATTGTAGTTCATATTATTAATATATTTTGTTACAAGAAGAGTAAATTATATTTATCTATATTTAACATTAAAATAATAAAAATATTTTATTGAATAAAAATTAAAATTCTTAAGTTTTTATTTTAATTTAATAAAGTTTTTAAAAAAAACTTTTTTTATTCTGATCAAGTAAATTCTTCTATAATATAGCATTAAAACCAATAATATAATAATAAAATCTATATATTAAATAAGTTTTTCAAATATTAACCAGACGGAAGCACAACAGAACACCTTGCCCAAACGGAGTTGGGATGAACAGGTAGCAAGCAAACGAGATAGCCAGGAAAACCTAAACATCAACAAAGACAATACCAATCCACAAGAACAGGGAAGACACCTTGAAAAAGAAAATAGAACCATTAGAATCGATGACACAGACATGGAAACAAACAGCAAGAGTGAAATAGAACAAGACCAACCATGGTTTACCATGCTGAAAGGGAAAGGTAGACAAGAAACGCCCAGGGAAACAAACAAACCAAGACCTTTTTCTCCCTTCGACAG